ACAAAACAAACAAATCGATGCGGAGATACACATGCACAAAAGAAACAAATCAATTCAGAGCCTGTCTAGTAACACTCCTTGGCTTCACTCTCCTGTTTATAAACCAACTACAGCTGCACATTAGCACTTCCTCTGTCTAAAACTTTTGAGCTGCCCAAACCACAAAGAAACCATGAGCTTTTAATATACCAATTAAATACCAAGAATACGAAGACCAGTGACCACATATCAAAGGAAAATTATCTACATGCGATGAAGAGAGTCTAATTTGTCCCATTATTAATATTTGTAGCTAATGTTGGGAAGGAGATGCCCACTAGAGATTGCCTCTACAAATGTTCTATAAGTGGTCTGTGTAGATGGGATAACGGTGTCCTGTACAGACAGAATGAGATTTATTCTCCATAACCTTAAGGTCCTTCCAAAATAGTCCATCTTCATTAGTGCTTTTGTCCATATCAGGAGTGTGCTTTGACAGCAAATCTCTACGATTGCCTCTCCTTTCTCAGCTTTATTTGGTACCACAAGCATGCAGAGTCTACGCATTTCCTAGTCATGTATCGCTTCCTCAGTGCTGCACTGCCTTTCTTCATTTCACATCCTCAGAAACTTAAGATCTTAAATCCCAGCATCTTCTCTGCTTCTTGGTAGTCTGCTATGGTGTGAAGCATGCCTAGAACAGGAGTTGTGGGGATAGCCAGGAGACTCCTATGTAAGACTGGTAAAAAGCTGGCTTCTCCCATGTCCACGCTAATCCTGGACCTGACACCGATGCTAAAAAAACCTAGCTTTGTTAAGACCCCTTGTACTGTCTGCTTGGTGCACTGGACAGCCACGTGGCAAGGAAGCATACTACGGAGATGAAAAACTGACGGTGAAAGGAAATACCAACACACAGAGCCCCTATATCTCAATAACAATCACCTCTCGTTTGCTGAGCCATCTCCTCTGGCTAGAGAACTTTTAAACAGATTTTTACAGGTCAGAATTGACCTAAGAGTAATTGAAAGGTGAAATATTTATTCAATAAAAATTATCCAGAAATGTAACCCTTGAGAACAAAAATACCATGTGTCCATAAAGGATAAAATACAACACAATATTTTTGAGTGCTGACAAGCAAGAAAGTAGCAGATTCATTTCCCAGATAAGAGAAACTTTACTAAGTATTTTCAACTGACCTAGTAATACATCATCTCTTATAGGAAATCTCACCTATGTACAGCAGTATTAGAAATATATCCCACTACTAAAAATATGCAAAGCTTATATAAATCTTTTAACTTCAGAAGGTGACATCTTAAGAAGTGCTACGTTTACTCTATCGCCTACTGTTGGACAAAGTCAAAAGGTTTAGCAAACTTATCTGAGGTTGTATCATTAAATTTTTCATTTAAGTCTTTACATCAAAGAGAATCCTGCAGTTCATCTGACTGTGTTAAAATATCTACACTAGACATAAGATTTAATAAATGAAAATAAAGGGTTGCCTTTTTATTCTTTCTCTGACAATGGCCAATACTAGATGTTTCTGTAAAACAAATCACCAGTGATCTTTAAGAACCAGAATGCCAGTTGTGTTGTAACAGCTTTAGGTTTTGTTTCATTTTATTTCTTACTGCACTTTCACAAGGACTTGTAATATTTGGTGCAATCAAAAACTGTGGCTTTTTTTATCAGAACCTGATAATATAAATAGACAATCTTCCAGATGCTGTTTTTTATTCAAGTTTCCAACATCTGCTCACAGAAAAACCTGTTATCAGAATGCCAACTTACTTGTTGAAAATATACCTTCTTCTGGAGAGCTGTGCTCATTCTGCATTACCTGCCCTTTATTTAGCAGAGAGGGGTTTTTTTGCAAATGCAGAAAAACTACACACAGCACATGCTGACTCATGGCAAACAGCTCATTTCTGTACAAATTGGAAGGTCAAAAGAGGTTAGGAGTTTCAAGCGAATTTTCACTTGCTTGAACAAAACTGATAATTGAGAGATAAGCAGCTGGGGCAGATTGCTTCAGCCTTTCAGATCAGAAGTAACTGTCCTACACCTGGGCTCGGGGCAAGGAAACTTTGGAGGGTGCAAAGATGAGCCAGGTTGCTTTGGCAGGACCATGAGTTTCCAATTCCCATTGCTCTGGCTTGGGTGCATCAGCACGAGCGTGCGACTCCCTGGGTTCTGCCAGGTGAAGTGACTGCCGCTGGCCAGATGTGCTGGCCACGTGCAGGCATCAGAGGGGGATTTTGAGCTGGGAGTAGTCCGATCCGCATACCACTTGCTCACCCGATGACGTGATGCATACTCCTGGAGAGCATCCTCTAGTCCGGTCTCCTTTAATATTGAACTCAACCGCTGCTGCAGCTTCAGCTTACACTGTCATTTAAATTAGAATTTAAAGTCTCTTAAGGCACAAGTAAAATAGGAATACAAATTTAACCTGTCCAAACTTAATGGCTCTAGGGTCCCAGCTTAAGTGTGCAAAGGAACATAACACTGCTGTTCTCTGTGCCAAAAAGGTCCAGAAGTTTTCCAAACCAAACACATGCACAAAGTTTTGGAACAAATTTTGAAATTAAAAAAAAATCAATGGAAATTTTGAATGTAAAAGTAATAGAAAAATTTGCAGAAATTGTTCCTTAGAGTACGTAAGAAAATACACTCACTACAAGCATGTCCCATTTTGCCCTATAGCTCAGATTCAAATGTACACTCTTCCTCTAACACATTAGTTCTCAATCCCAAGCTAAATTTAATAACAAAATGAGAGGGAAAAAAAGGAAATAGAGCAACAGAAGTCACTAAGAGGACATACAATATTTACCCTGAAAACTAAAAAATGAATTGACCAAAGAAAATCTGATTATTTGTTAGTTTTTTGTTAAAGTCATATTGGGTATCTGAGTGACTGACACATATTTGCGTGATGAACCTCATAGCGAACAGGATTTATTCAGAGACTAATTAGCTTTTTATATTGAGAACTTATGAAAAGCTGCCTTATTTTATATTTGTGAATGTCAGATTACCATTTCACCATTCTGTTGCTATGGCAATACCAGCAGCAAATAGTAAGTAGATAAACAGGATTTCACATGTATTCATCCAGATACCTACGGCTGGACACAGCATTCAGAGCAATCTTCATTATCTAGCTCAGGACACATTTGCCTTACATTTCCATGTCTGTATATTCCCGAACAGGTTTGGTGAAGGTTTGTAGATTCAAGTTAATACCGTATATTTAAGTTCACACAGTGTTTTTGACAGCATGAGCATCATAAACTACTCAGGCAAAGTAATAAATGGCCAGATTTTTCAGAAACCTTTAGATACAGCTTTTTTCTTTATATATCTTCATGGCAAAAAAATAGAGAAAAAAACAATTTAACACTCCTCATTACAGAGCTGTTCCTCATTTCACCCTTAAACTGCCTCATGCCTTTTAGGTAGGTAGCAACATTAATAAGCAGAAATTACATTTTGCTCTCAGTAAATTACAGAATGGTGAGTTTGGTTTTCTTTTTTGCTAAAATCAGCCAGTAACCTAAGATCTTTACTAATAAAAAAATGGATAATTTTAAGTGTTTGTGTTATGTGATGTACGAACAAGTCTTCCCTACAGATTTAACTTAATTTTTGTTAATGAACCAAGAACTCCTTTGCAAAGTACTTGACAATGCCCAGCAGAACCTGCTGTTCCTGGAATTAAAGTAATCAACAGTTCTTGGATAACGTGGGCAAAAGTTCGGACAAAAACCCCATTAAAAAATCATCATCTCCAATTTTAGCCATTTCCCTCTGAACATCAATTTTATAGGAACAGAAAACAGCTGATGCATGCTGTAGTATTAGGAGTGCAGTGAATTTAGTAAGCTCCTGGAGTACGGGAAGGGATCTGGCAAGAGCCACAGCAGCAGGACCCCGTTTGCAACCTGGAGATGCCATGGGAGAATTGAAAAGGGCTTTTACTGGACCTTCTGGAAACGTTCCTCAGCAGGAGAGGAGGCAGAGCACAGCCTTTCTTTCTGCCAGTATCTGGTGACAAACGCTGGATGCGTTTCTGAAGAGTCACTCAGACCAATGAAACTAATTGCCTCATTTTCACATGTATTGCTTACATTTCAAATAATTTGTTCTCTTAAACATATCCCAGTCTCTAGATGTGGTTATCAGGCCTCGTCATCAGATGGGGTTTTCAGACAGCCCACGCTAAGTCTGAAGAGAGCAGAACAAAGGCAGGAGAGCATCAGGAGTGAAGGGAACATGCCCAGCACACTCACAGCAAAGCTTCTCCCTTAATTCCTTCTGCCTGCACATTAACTACCTCATTGTGCCATTGGAAGATATTTTCAAGATAATCTATAGATTATATTCATGAAAATGCACAAGTTGCCTCATAGAAATGGAGCTAAATAAATATTTATGGAAGATGTCCGTCAAAGTCCAGCTTTTTTTTTTGCTGCTACCTTAATACTATGTAAAAAAAAATATAAGCAGATTCCAAATCTATGGGGGATATTTGTTTTTTTTTAAATCAGGAAGGAATCTTGCTCTTATTCCAGAAATAGGAAACAAAAAAAATCGCACATATGTCACTGCAACAGTTTTTTCCATCTGTTTACTGCTCTAATGCCGTTTGATAGCTTAGTAAATAAGCAGCATCAGCTTACCAGATTACCTTTAAAAAGAACCAGGCAGGTAGGATGCATATTAAAATACACACAATATGTAATGAACAGGCAGGTAAATCTATTCCATATAACAGTAACGCAACATAATCCAAGAGGATTATTCATCCCTCTGCAGTTATCAAACTGTAATTCCAGTGCCTCTCATTCCCCCTCCCCATTTTTACCTTGTGGTACATACAAATAGATACAAGTCTGTCCAAGGACAACAGCTTCTCCAATGCTGCTGTCTCCAGGAAAAATAAACTTTGAATAACTACATGTTCTTTTTCTGTTCCTAAATACGTTCCTCCCTCTGCTGTGTTGCAGGAGCACGGCATACCGACTGACATGGGGTACGCAGTGGCTCCGCACCACTCCGGGGTCTACCCGGTTCACATCCAGCTGTACGAGGCCTGGAAGAAGGTCTGGCACATCCGAGTGACCAGCACAGAAGAATACCCACACCTGAAACCTGCACGGTACAGACGGGGCTTCATCCACAATGGCATCATGGTACACTGCATTTCCATGCTTCATAGCAATAGTATTTTCAATGACTCAAAAAGTATGCTATTTTTACCAAATGCTTCAAGTTTTACGGCAATCATTAAAATTCTCTGTGATCGAGGATTTGTAAGGATGCCAAAATAGTGCATTTGTTATGCAGCCAGTTTAAAAAAAAAGTCACACAAACTCAGGCAACTGCAAACTTAATCCTCATACTAAATGTACTTGTAGTCCCATCGACTATCAACCGAGTTATAAATGCGTACTTTGAAATTCATTAAACTGCCTAAGACTTATGTTTCAAGCTCCGGTTCAGCTTCATGTATGAAAGGATTAGAAATCCACCACCTGGGAAGGTGAGCAGGAGTAAGTAATCTCCTCCAGTGAGTACGACACTTCTGAGGCAGAGGTTTCATTCTGAGCTTTGCTTCCGAAACTCCCAGAGCCAGAGGCCAGGCACGTGCCCGACTCTGCCAGACCATGCATTTGTGCAAGGAGAGAAGAGGTTTCTCACATACACACTTCAACTGCATAAAGGGCAGGAAAATGTATAAAATTATTTGTCCTGCAAGCCTATAGATAGGTGAAACACAAAAATTGAATATGCACGAATGAAGTTAGAAATATTTCAAGGGCAGATCCTGGGATGCTTTAAAGTCCCAGCTGACTTGAATATTGCCTACGCATATGAAGTTTAAATTGTGGTCCCCTAAACAAGACAAAAGGAATGCCTTAATCAAAACCAAGAAGTGACTGCACAGAGTCCAATTACTATTGAAATAGCCTCAAGTTCAGCAGTGCATTTACAGATGTATTAACATGCTCTGCCAAATGTAGGTTTTATTTATTGTTTTAACTGAGTAGAAAAACAAAAACACTGAGTGAAGGGAGACAAAAGGCCTTCCCCAGGTGAATTATGTCTCTGCATGGATTGGGCAATACCCATAAGCCCTGACAGTTGTCTTGTCTTTACCAGAGCCCTTTGATAGCACGTAGCTAATAACTTCACTAAACCACCTAGATCTCCAAGATGAGTTTGTTTTCCCACGCCTGCTAGCTCACTGCTTTCTGACACGCAGCCTCTTGATGTAAAGCAGGACAGAGGGCTGACCTCGGGCTGGCCTCATGTGAGTATCCCACCAGTGCCGTACACATTTCACAAACAGGAATGACGGGCTCAGTATGGTTTTCAGGACTGAGGAAAGTATGAAGCAAAGGTCTTTTGTGGTCCTCCAGCCTTGAATACAAATTAAATGTCACAAGAACATTAGATTAATTGCCTGAGACAGCAAAGACAGCCAGGAAGGACTATTTATCTCATAATAAACTAACCTTGCTAAGGGAAGAGAGGTTTGGCTTGTTTTCTTCCTCTTCCAAATGCCAGGAAACAAACACTTATTACAAGTGTATGAATAAAACAGTCTGCATGAAAGCTCAGCCCATGTATCTCACAGCTTTGCAGAGCTGGCATCTGGAAATCGCCACATCTGCAGGACCGTGCTTACCACCGGAGTAGAGAAGGCACAAACAGCCCCTAAACAAACATGCTGGCACACAGAGGCAGAAGGGGTTGCAGATTTGTTTCTTTGAGCTGCTGGAGGGATTTGGGTGGCTGTGCCAGGGTAAGTTTGCAGGAAGAAGTTTATCACAACTGCGCTGTTTTGTTCTCAGGTGCTCCCTCGACAGACCTGTGGCCTTTTCACTCATACTATTTTTTACAAGGAATATCCTGGGGGTCCTCAGGAGCTGGACAAAAGTATCCGAGGAGGTGAACTCTTCCTCACCATTCTCCTGAATCCCGTAGGTACCTTCTGTTGCTATTTTTTGACACACTAACAAGGAGCAGGGAGGGAGGAAGGGAAGGAGATCGGTTTTCTTGGCTCTTGGTTGGGGGTGGGGGAGGAGGATCAAGACCACTTGCTCAGAGGTAAAAGCAGTTTAAAGAGGAAAGGAACAAAAAGTCTTCTGCTAATTTTTATCTATGACTGTATGCAACAAGTTATTGGAAAACGCATTAATTTCAGCTCTATACTGTTTCCCAACCTGAAGCTGAGCCCCCATGAGAAGAGTGTGCTGACTTGTCTAACTGAGTTTTCTCTACCCTCATTGGTTTCTTTCAGTCTGTGTGATCTTATTCTGCTTTTCCTTCCCCCCCCCAAGCTTGGCTCCTCAGGCACTGCTGATATAGCTCCATGGAAACCCCAGGGCTCAGGCCTGATATCATTCCCCCATCACTGGCTCTTAAAATTAGGTTTTGTGCAGCTAAAAAATACCCCAGGCAGTACACAGCCTTCTAATGAAGATTTTTGCTTTGCTCAGTGCTGCATTTCTTGCTCCCTGTCAACATTACATGAACCATAAACTATATGTATGTGTGCACACATACAACCACCTACATATGTATAAACACACACACATATATGATTTAATCAAAAGTGCCACAGGCTTCTAGGACATTTTGCAGACCTATCACACAGTTTTGTCTCAACCAATAAAGTGGCCTGAACTCCGCTGTGCTAATATACATACGCACACGCGTATTGTGTTGGGAGCCCCAGAGCTGAATGCAAGACAGACATGGACATGTTGGACCAAGTCCAGAGGAGGCCACAAAGATGCTTAGAGGGCTGGAGCACCTCTCCTAAAGATAGGCTGAGAGAGTTGGGGTTGTTCAGCCTGGAGAAGAGAAGGCTCCGGGGAGACCTTAGAGCCCCTTCCAGTACCTAAAGGGGCTACAGGAAAGCTGGAGAGGGACTGGTGACAAGGGCAGGGAGTGACAGGACAAGGGGAATGGCCTTAAGCTGAAGAAGGGGAGATTTAGATGAGCTATTAGGAAGAAATTCCTTACTGTTAGAGTGGTGAGGCCCTGGCACAGGTTGGCCACAGAAGCTGTGCCTGCCCCATCCCTGGCAGCGTTCAAGGCCAGGTTGGATGGGGCTTTGGGCAACCTGGGCTAGTGGAGGGTGTCCCTGCCCGCAGCAGGGGGTTGGAACTAGATGACATTTAAGGTCCTTTCTAAACCAAACCAATCAATGATTTATGACATGACAACATGATATAGGTGGGTGCACAGGTGTGATTTGGCTCACCAAGGATTAAGGAGGAAAGCTACCTGACTACAAATGCTGTATTTTGAAGTCACAGTACTCTCGCCCATGAACAAGTCTGGTGCCGTTTAAGACAGCAGCCTGAAGGTGGAAGGAGGAAGGACAAGAACAAAAAAAATCATATATCAATTATTTGTTGCCATTGTCCTGCCTTCTTCCTGTTCCACCCAAACAAACCATACCACTCAAATGTCTTGCTTGCCAGGTGGCCCAATTTTCAGTGGTTTTAGATTGCAGTACTCATCGACTTCTCTGCAGAGTTAAAGAAACTTCAGGTGGAGCCAACTCTCAAATCCAGGTCACTTTTATTTAGAGACCTAAATATAGATTTTGATATTATATAATTAGGTGAAAATTTTGGCTGGGGAGCTAAGTTGCTGACTGAGTCAAAGATTCAGTGGCCTTAAATAAATGGCACATTTCTATTAGGAACTTTTCTGTACTATACATGTGATACCTAATTTGAGAATAAAAAATTATCCCTGTTCTTTATCCTGTCTCTCCATTACCTGCCATTCTCTCAGGCTGGCTTTTCTTTCCATAGTTTCCTTAACTGTAACTTGGCTTATCACTGTCTTGGGATGCTGCTGGAGTTTATCCTTGGATTTACCATACTTTGATCAATACCTGTGCATCTTTCACTTATCTGAAGATTTCCTCAGATTTAGGCAGTGCAGCAGTATGTAGCAGACTATGTTCTTACTCCATGACAGATGCTTAGAATAGCCCCAATTCCTCAATCACCATATCCGAGCTTGTGAGCATGCTCAGGCCACCTTGGCTTCCTCCCTTTTTCCCTATTTTTCAGGGTTTTTTTGTTTCTTACTGACAGCAAATAGCAAGAAGGCACAAGCTCACAGTTGCTTATTAGAAATTTCAGCCTTTGGATCTTTTAAACAATTGCATCCAAATGTTCTTTCCAAAGGTAGGCTAAGGGGAAAGGTAGCTCTTCGATTAGTCTAAAAAATATTTTAAAGCCATTATTGAACTCTGAATAAAATCAGACAGGGCTATGCCACCATTTATTACACTCTCCATAATTCATTAGCCTGGGCTCTCCAGGCAGCTCCCAAGCAGGACCAACTTCGGAGCTGCTGGAGCATCTTCCTTCTGGGAGCTCTAACATCCCCAGCCACTTGCGCTGACCCTGCAGGAGGTTTCCCCCAGCCAGGTCCAATTGCTTCCCCCTAGAAAGGGCCAAATCCCTCCCTAGACAGGTCCTGCAGCACAGACGGGTGCTGTTGGTGCCCCGCTGAGCGTGCCACAAGAATACTTGAGAGAAGCAGTTCTACCACCTGCCTTTTAGGTTTCAGGAGTGATGCAGCAGAAACAGGACCTCTCCTAGGAAGGTAGTATGTAATGGCCGGCAAAGCATTCCAGATGTAATCATGCATCTGTCATGCTCATGACAGAGCTAGAAGACCATCTTCCAAAGAAAGGGGGGATGAAAAAGATTTTCTTTAGTACACAAAGTCATCGTTTTGACCAAGCTATGTTCCAATAAAGTGAGAATACAATAGATATTATTGGGTGGTATTTGTAAAGAATAGCTTTTCTATACTGTCAATGTTTGATTCCTCCTCCCCCCACTTTTACGATTTTTTTATCTTTACCTCATCAACACTGATATTTTACTGAGCTAAAGAACACAAGTGAAATACTGACACACACTTCCCTGAGTTCAGTATGAATCTGTTCCAATATAAGTGCTTATTCAGACAGGAAGACATATAATTTAATCACATGTGAGCTGAAGTAAGATATACCACAAAACCCCACCATCATTCAAGTCAGGTTGGTACAGTACCTGATGAAATATGCACTGACTGACAACAGTAAAAGCAAAATCTAGCCTTATCTCGGAAGGAAACTGGTGTGAGTAGGAAACAAAATCATCTATATTCATGCACCCATTTTCTTTTTTTTTAAATACCAAGGTTTGGACAGCACACAATGGAACAAATGGGAAGACCTTTATTTTATTCAGTCTAAGTGAAGGTGTAGTGTTTTGGTGGTTAATTTGAAAAAGTTTACAGATTAGTATCTAAAAATCTATGGTATCTTCTGAAAGCGATCAACAGAGTGCCTATTCTTCTGGCCAATCACTAAATCAGTTGAATACAAAAACATGCTTTGAATGTGATGTGTTCTCCAGTCTGGCAGCAGTGCACGCTAGAAGAGAGAGAGACTTCCCATCTTATATCCTGAAAGCTTTTCACAAACCTCCGCTCATTAATAAGCTTCCTTCGCATTTGGATATGAAGCTGTGCAGTTCAGGGCTTTACTACAAGCAGCACAGTGTAACCAGCGCGTGCTCTCCAAACGGATTAGGGAAAAGAACAACTGTCTGGAATGCAAAGGCTTTTTCAAAACCGTAATTTAAAGTTTTGTTGTTGTTAGTCACATTGAACAAGATGCCTAATGTCATCCATTGATAGACACCATATCCATAAAATCAAATCCTAACCAGAATGCACCGTCCACCCTAGCACGTAGGCTGCTTTACACAGCGTTGCAGTTATCTACTTCAAGATTGGCAGGAAAGAGATTGCATGTACCATTGTTTCTTTTTGCATTATTGGCATTGTTTAAAAACATTTTTCATTTACTCTTTAAAAACACCTGCCAGACTCTTTCCTGGTGGGGAAGAAATGTGCAGAAATAGAGTAGCTCCTATTAATTCTACTGCCCAGTGGTTACACAAGGCTCCTGCTCACCGGGCTCTGGTCTCAAGCGGGTGCGTGCAATTGCCACCAGCATTAGTGTAAGTTATGTGCTTACAGCAAGAGGAAAGGGGAACCCCTACGCATGGGCGGTGCGCTCTTCTGGAGGGTTAAGATGGTATAAAACTATTTCTGCTTGCAGACAGAGAACGTATGCATGTGCACTCTCACAGCGCTGCCGGGCTACCATGACAACTGAAGTTACACACAAATTACGTGTGTTATTACCATAAAAGATCATATTCCACAGTCCAAGATTGGGTTAGAAAACTCTTTACACAGCTAGTTACCTGCCCTGTGGTGCAGAGTGTCTGTTACTACTCCCAGCTGTTTGAAAAGTACAGGGGCAACAAAAAAAAAGAATACATGGTTTCACAGAGCCCTTTCTGCAAGTACAGCAGATCATTTTGTTACCATTTTATGAGGGGCCTTCTTGATCATCAAAGTTAGAAGAGGGTTTCTGAGCAAGTTTCATTTGTGGTCACTGCCTGTCTCATTTCTGTGAGGTTTTTTTTGTTCAGGTTTTGCATTGGTACGTTTCTGTAGATGAGCCTAACAATAGCTGGGCAACAATTCCAAGTTAGATGTTATTTATAACATTTGGGCTTTAGATGCTTGAAATCTAAATGCTTTCCCTATAAAAATGAACCAACCCATAAGTAATTGCTACCATACCTTTTAAACCAAAAAATAAAATAAGCTGTGCAGTTCAATGACAGCTTCCCAAAGCAGTTATGGTAAGGGCTGGTCTCCCACACATCGCACAAGTGTCTGTTTGCTCCTGGCTTCTCTTTTGGAGGCAGCTACCTCGTTTCCTCCAAATCAAAACCCTGGCTCTGGGTTTTGAGGATAGTTTACTTCAGGGACTGTTCCCAAAAGCCAGTCCAGACAAGGATGCATTGGTTTTGGCTCTCTGCACACCTCCAACACCATTCCCAGCAGACTGTCAACCCTCACATCTTCCCACTCT